CAGCTGCGCGTGCATGCACGCCATCTTGAGCAAAATCGATATGGCCTGCTGCATGTCTCGAGCCCGAAGGGCCCCCTCGACCTGCTGAAGACCGTCTTCTGCATCGTCTGCTGCGTCCCCGAGGTTGGCCTTTTTTTTCCCCGAGGGTGCTCCTCCGAGGTCCTCGCCGTCGCCTGCCTTGCGCTTGTGCTTCTTGATCAGCAGCTCCAGGTCCATGGACTCCGCGTCTGGTTGCGACATGCCGCGGTCGAAGCCGAGGCCGAGGGAGAGTAGGAGCACCCAGGGCACAGTGTGTGCGTATGTGTACCTGCAGTTGTCGGAGATCTTGAGCCGTGAAGCTGCATACGGGGCATTCGAGTGAAAAAGGTTGAACAACTTCTGCCGCCGTGTAGCTACTGCGTCCAAGAGCGCAGCGATTGTGGGCATAAGACCTCATAACATGTCGCTGAGCATTCTCCCGAGTGCTGAGAACCTGGAGGCACCTGAAACACTGGTTCGTGACCGTGAGAAGTGCTGCCTCGTTTCGAACTTTGTGAACTCTGCCTGCATGTAATAATAGAGCTTCCATGCTGGTGAAGGTGTCACCACACCGCTGCCCCTCTGAGTTCTTCAGATTGCAGACGAACTCGCCAGGGGCGTCCACCTCCTCCACCACCTCCTCCTCCATCACGATACTCGGGGCCACCGAGGGCCCACTAGGTGGTGCGATCGCTTTAGAAAAATAGGTGGCCCTGATAACTGTGAGGTCGATCGAGGCCCAGTCGTCGAACTCCTTAGTGTAAAATAGACCCAAGAGAGGAAAATCTTCTGGAACTAAATCAGCGAACTCCTCAGACTGGCTTCTGGCAAACTGGAGGTCCTCAAGAACCTGACGGGCCCAGGGGTTAGCCTTTTCGTGGATGGTCCAGTCGTCGTTCATGCTAGGTATGTCATTGATCGTGCCTAGTATGCATGCCCGAACCTGCCTGTGGGCGCTAGGGTATTTAATCCATGACTGATACCAGCGTAGCCTCCGAAGTCGCAGTTCGTCTGCCAATGGAAGGATCTGCCAGTAGGCCCATACCCTGTGAGAGCTCCACTTCCAGCGCACCCCGTCGTGGTCCTCAGTGCCCTTGACCCCGAGACCCCTACGCATCGCCCTCATCATGATCTTGTCACCCTCGACCGTGAAACTTTTATCTGGGACCCTCCCCTCCATCCCCGACAAGAGAGCACCTTGCACGTACGAAAGGATGGCCATGCGCTTGATGCCGCGGGCAGCCTCGTGGACAAGAAAGTTAGAGATGATGCCGAGGCCAGTCCGTCCAGCCTGGAATCTTTTTCCTTTCTCAATCTGCAACGATCCCTGCACCGTCAGCCAACCGCCGAGGATGCGCATAAATCTGCCAAACTGCCCAGAGAGATGCAGAGTGCCTGCATGCAGGAGGCGGCGTTGGGCGATGCAGCCTTTCCCAAAAAGCCTAGCAAGTGTGACTCGCTTGCCCTCGTTGAGCCCCACGCCGATGCCGTCCAGGGAGGATGCTAACTTGCTGCTGCTAACCTGTGCCAGTGCGGTAAGGTGACGTGCCTCTCCTCCTCCTCCAAAGGGTTCAGGTCCTCTTCCTGGGATCACCGTCTTCGTGATATCGTCGGCGTACAGTGTGATGCCCGTGTCCGTGCGTGTGCCGTCCACCTCCTCCGCCTGTGAATACGTGTACGAGCTCGTCCCCGCCCTCCAGCTCAGAAAAGCCCCCAGGCCCTGAAGATAGAAATAAGGGAAGCCTCTGGCTGGATTAGGGTGTCCCATGAGCTCTCCAGAGGTAGGCCTGAGGGAGATGGGCCTGTCGGGTCCCATGATCTGCATCGCCGTCTGCATCGTGCGAGAGTGCTGGAACCTGACGTCCTCGGGGAGGTAGAGGGACTCGAGGCAATTCAAGATCGTCTCTCGTGTCGTACTGGCGAAAGCGTTCGTGGCATCTTCATTGATGATGGCGTGTGATAGCGATAACTTCTGGAGCCTCCAGCTCAAGCAGTCCTGCACCGCGATGGCGTCTTCACGCCGGCGGCGGCGAGCAAAGCCGTGACAAAAATACGGAAGTGGGTCACGGTGGCGACGAGCCCGATTCCAAAGATGGGCGTTCCACGCCTTGCCCATCGGGCAGAAGAGATGTATCCAACGTTGTCCGAGCGGTCCTGGCTTGCCATTGCCCTTGTCCAGGCCCACGATGTGAGAGATGTCGAAGACCAGTGGGGTGGAGGAAGTCCGCCGAAAGGATCCGATGATGTCGAGCATTCTTTCCCTGAAGGCCTGTGCCGTCGCAGGGGTAGGGCACGAACCCACTCCACCACGTTTGAACTTGTGCCACTGGTCGGGGTCGATCAGGATCAGCCAGAGCTCCGACGGCATACTCCACGCGGGTGTAGCTCGCCTCTTCGGTGCCCTGCGGAGCGCCCTGATGACGCCCGAAAGGTCCTGATCTGCCGTCTCTAAATCTGCCATCTGCATCGTGTCGTAGCGCTGCTGGTCCGTGCGGTGAGCCTCGTCCCCCTCGTGGGTGCGGTCGAAGCGCTCCGTCAGCTCCGCCTGTAGGTCGCAGTCCACCGCCGAGAGTCCGCCCTGCTGAGCGGGCAAGCGTAAGAAGTCGGCGATGTCCTGTGGTTCGCAGTTCTCCTCTCGTGCCTTGAAGTACTTCCGATGTCGGGGCCCTCTGCCCTTGCGGGCCAGTCGCCGAAGCAGAGTCTGCACGGCGAAGTGGTCGTGCTCCCTCCAGGCGGAGTTGAGCTCCCCGACCAGCAGGGAGTTGCGTTCCTTGGTGATCTGGCGTGACAGCTGCCTGAGCCTGAACGTGATCCTCGCCAGTTCCAGTTCGACGTCCGCGCGTGCCTCCGAGTCAGTGCCGACGGGGAGCAACGGTGCGAGGGTCACTAACGGCGCACCGCCGGGCAGTCCCCACTCGCGCCGCGCCCCCCGCTCGGCTCGACCAATATGAAGTTCACGCAACCGTCGGCGACGTGCCAGGATCTCCGAACGCAGCCTTTCCAGAACCGACTTCTCAGCCTCCGAAGGTGAAGGGCGTAAAAACTCCGTCAGCGCCGCCTCCCTGAGCAGCACCGAAATGGAGTTCCACAGTTCGTCTGTCGTAGGCCGTGAGCAAAGCCGTACCCATTCATCTTCAGGGATGGTCAGGATGGCTTCGTGGACCCGTTCCACCGCAGAGGTGCACTCCTCCCCGCCGCGCAGGATGCGCGACATGGTATCGAAGTCCCAGCACTGCCTCTGGGTAGAACTGGCCTCGAAGCGGTAGCTGCATTCCATGAAGACGGGGCGGTGGTCCCTGTCGTCCAGGGTATTCACGGGCTGGAGCCGCCTCCCCGCAGGTCGAAGAACACGGCAGACTCGGACGTGAGGAAGCAAGCCCGTCGGAGCGTGGATAAAGTCTATCCGCGACGTGTGTCCCAGTGGCCCGTGAAACGTTGGCCCAGCTGGGTAGTGCGTGTTGATCGCGCTCAGCGCCGTGTCCCTCAGCACCTGGTGCCAATGCTTGCCAGCGAAGTGCTCCAACTCAGCACCACAAGGGCCCACGTGTGCATCGGCTTCCCGTTCCCAGTCCCAGTCGGCTCCGTGTGTACTGGTGTCCCGTGGGGCCGTGACGCACTCGCCGTCCAACGTGTCGTCTGCACAGAAGCCCAGTTGGTCATTCAAATCGATGCCGACAAACGGTGTGCACCTGGAGCCCACTCCGTTGATGACCGACTTCGCCCAGTTGCAAAGTCCCAGCACGACGTTCCGATACTGTGTACGTCCGCCGCGGAGAGACGGAAGAGTTGGGAAGTAGAGCACCATGAATAGAACGTCCGAGGTCTGTGATTTTAAACGTACTGCTCCGCCACGTCCACTTAAGAAACTGGGCGGCGTGAAAATCTTACGAATGAAGTTCCTCGGGAAGCGCCTCTGGTGGAGGAAGATCGACACCCCGCAACTCTTGTTGGAGGCCCTCGTCCACCCGAAACTCAGTTCCCAGTGATAAGGATGAAGGAAAAGTGAGTGTGTGTCCTCTGTCTGGCGACGGGAGGTACCTGGCAGCATGATAGCTCCAATATTTTTGAATTCGTCAGAGACCTCCGATGCCCGCGTAGCCCCCGTCAGGAACATGGGATTATAGACGCACGTCCGAAGTGTGAATGTGTTGCCATCTTCAGCGTGGGGGCGAGTCCTCTCCATCACCAGGGCGCCAAGCACGCCCAGCTGCAGGAAGGCGAAGGCGCTCACGGCGAGGAGCCAGCGCCTCGCGCGAGGGGCCCCGACCCCCTCTCTCATGGGCGAGGAGAGCCCCTCGAGGGAGAAGCCATGCCGCTGAAACACCTGACTTTGTAAGGAAGTGTACTGAAGTGCCGCGGGAAAGGGGGGGTGGTCTGGGCCGCTGCAGCGGCTCGGAGGAGGAGGAGGAGGAGGAGGAGGAGGAGGAGGAGGAGGAGGAGGAGGGAGGAGAGGAGAGAGGAGAGAGGAGAGAGGAGAGAGGAGAGAGGAGAGAGGAGGAGAAGTAGAAGCCTCCTCCTCCTCCTCCTCCTCCTCCTCCTCTTCCTCCTCATCCTCCTCATCCATCTCCTCTTCCTCCTCGTCCTCCTCGTCCTCCTCGTCCTCCTCGTCCTTTTCTGACCTTGCTTTTCCCCCTCCTCCTCGTACTCCTCCCCATGCCCCCTCGCTCCCTTCTTTCTCCGCCTCCGAGGAGGAGGGGGAAAGACGGGGAGGAGGCAGGGGCGAGGGGGGGGGGACAACGAGGTGGGGCAGCGGGGCGGGAGAGGAGGAACCCGCAGAGGCCTCCCAGCTGGGGCAGGAGCAGACGGGCTCCGAGGACTGCACCGAGTCGCCGATGCGTCGGTGATGCGCAGGCGGCGCCAGAACAAACCGCATCGAATTCAGCCACATCAGCGATGCGTCGGGGGTGCGGCGCGGCCCTCCGATCCGAGCGGGCGGGCGGGAAGGCTGGAGATGACCAGGCGCGTTTTTTCGCGCGGCCCGC